TGGAAGGTGATTGTCAAAAAATAATTTATTTGACTTGTCATTATTCTTATTGATTATTGATCGGAATATATATATGTGTGTGTGTATATTTTAGCAAAAATATTACCAAGCTAGGTCTGATGCCAATGTCACACAACAACAAATGCAAAGAGAACTTGATAGTTTAAGAAAAGTTGAAAAGACATATGCTGTAAAAACTCGCGAGTTGGAACTTGACAATGATGATTTAGAAAGAACAGAAAGGTTAGTAGGTTGGACAGATAGATGGATTGACAGATTAAAATATTTATATTATCCATATCATTTATATAATATTAATTCTTTCCTTACATAGAGCTGCAAAAAGTTCATTGCAAGATTTAGAAAACAAATATAATAAAGCAATAGAGCGTAATGCAATCTTAGAAAATGAATTAGAAGGAAAAAATATATTAATTGTCCAAGTACAAAGATTAAAAGATGAATTAAGAGGTAAATATATCAATTTTAACAAAATAAATGTAAATATACATAATATTATCATTATATATAACTTTAAATTTTTATCTAGATGTAAATATAGAATTGGCTATATTGAAAAATCAACAAGATGGTGAATATGGCCCACCACCACCATCATCAGCTTCCCAACTATATTCAATACATAAGACAGAATTATCACGCTCACCATCACATGTGTCTATCGATTCAAATTCATCTGATGTTAGTCCAAATCCGGTAAAAATGGTACAAGAAATGGTTGGCAGGGTCAAGGTAACTTATATATGTTATCACATTATTATTATATATATTTATTTTATTTATTAACAGTATATTTGTATTTAATAGAGTTTGGAAGCACGTTTAGTATCATGTCGTTCACTAGTTACACCTTTATTAGCACCACCCCCATCATATAGTACAACAATGCCATTACAAAATGGTATAAATTCACCCCCATTATCACCAAAAATTTCACGTTTTGATTCACCTTACATCACATCTCTGAAAGAAAAAAGACGTAATTCTGTTCAAAAATCAAAATTTAATATTTCACCTACTCCAACTAAATTAAGCTCATTTGGCAGGGTTTAACTCAACAAAACAATGATGGTATTATATTTTCATATCAAAAAAAAACAAAAACAACAAAGTAATGAAGAGCATGCAAAAAAAGAATGTTATTTTTTTTAATAAGGAGGTGGATTAATGATTAATGATAAAAATAACAATAATTTTATTAGTATCTAAAGTAATTACAATTACTGGATTTTTTTAATAATGGACTTTTATAACAATAAGAAAAATAGTAATACTATATTTTTAATATTCAATACTTCTCTATTCTCTTATTATATATATAATCTAATCTAATACTCCTAATACCCTTTCTTAATTTCTTTTTTTCTATTTTGCTTGATTTTTTCTTTTTTAATTCTACTTGCTTATATTTATATTATTATTATTATTCACTCGGATATGTTAAAATAATTCCAATTAGTTCTTTATTTATATTCATATATCATATTGATGGAACAAAAATCCTTACATTGCAAATTCAATAACTAAGCTCTTCTTTTTTTTCAAAAAAAAAAAAAAAGTGATGAAAGTTATTATTATCAAAGAAGCAAATTTTTAAACAAAAATCAAGTAAAGTGAACAAAGAAATAATAAATCAAATTATTTTTTTCAAATTGAATAAAAATTATATCCCTTTTTTTTTTAATATATAATATTTCTATTGCCCTGTCTCTTCTTTTCAACAAAGAAAATGAATTAAAAAATTATTTTTATTTTTTCTTGTATTAATATTTTTTCCTTGATAATAGATAATGCAATCTGATTTTCCTTTGGAACATTAGAGACTAAATATGGCACCAAAATTGTTTTTAAAAAAAAAGTAACTTCAGCACAGAATGTTTTTCATATAAATCTACATTAAAAACTATACCATTCAATGTAAAGAAAATAATTTCGGCTACTATGAGAAACTATTTGGCATTTCAGCAACTATTCTAATATCCTCCATTATCCAGGAAAGATGACATGACAAAATGCTAGCAAGTTGGCAATAAGGTTGCGGGCAAAACTCTTCCAGAAATCAATTGACAGTTTCGACAGGTTACACATTAATTGTTTATTAGAGTTTCGACAGAGTTTCACATTTTGGGGGGGTTTGACAATCGACAGGTCACACATTAATTGTTTATTAGAGTTTTGACAGAGTCACTAAGAGGTTTTGCCTGCAACCTTAGTTGGCAAACATGCTGGTTTAAATCTATTCAAAAATCTGGATTACCAATGGCCAATAAACCAATAACACTTTCCAAAGTGTAAGAATTTAAAATAGTCTGTCTTGTCCTTTCTATTTTGGTCTAATTAAAGACAGACCAAACTGTTGGCCTTGAAAACAGTTTAAAAAAAACAAAAATGTTCATTATGGTAATAACAGATAACAGAAACAAAGGACCCTGTTAACTATACTGGCAGTACAATGAAAATGTCAAGCCCTAAAATACAAAATGTTCACTTTGTCTGGTTTTGTTGCAGCATGCCCCATATAATATTAATTGATTTTATATTCAATTTCAGGCAATGAATTATTGTAAAATTAAATCACAAATGATGGTGGAATGCTATGGTATAACTAAATTCTCAGATAATGGAAATTATTCAATAATTTTAAATTATAAACCAGAAGGAAGTTTAAGGGGTTATTTGCAAAAAAATCATTTAATATTAAAAGATAAGATTACAATCTTTATGTATTTATGTGGTTCATTATATGATATACATGAAAAAGGTTTAATCCATTGTGATTTACATAGTGGTAATATACTTATGGAAGGAGGAGGTGTTTGTTATATTACAGATTTGGGATTATGTGGACCAGTTGATGAAAAATCATCAGATAAAGTCTATGGAATTGTATCATATGTTGCACCCGAGCTACTTAGAGGCAAAAAGAATGCAAAGAATACAAAAGAATCTGATGTTTATAGTGTTGGGATGTTAATGTGGGAAATATTTGCAGGTCATCCACCATTTGATTACAGGGCTCACAACCATCGTTTAATTTTTGATATATGTGCAGAAGGTTTACGACCACCAATATTACCTGGAATGCCTGACGATTATGCACAAATGGTGCAGCGGTGTTGGGATGTGGATCCATCAAAAAGGCCAACTAGTGAAGAGCTGCTTTATTTTGCCTATAATAAATCGGAAGAAATTCGTGGTAATGATGGCAGCAGCAGCAGCAGTGGTGGTGGTGGTGGTGGTGGCAGTGTTATTTCACAACAAGTACACAAACCACATCCAGACGCATATCATAAAAGTAGAATCTTGGATGAAGAGATTGCTAAATCAAAAAGCCTTAAGAGTTATACAAGTAATGATAGTTCATTGAATGATATCGATTTTAACTCTTTTCTCTTAAATACTGAAGGTGAATAAAAATTTCATTATTAATTGATTGAATTACTATCCGTTAATTATTACTAACAATATTTTTTTATTTAATAAATGTTAGATTCTAGTAATTGAAAGAAAGAATCGATGGGTGACTAATTTAATCCCACTATAAATTTATTCATTATAATTATTTATTTTATTTCATTTTTATTTCAAAATTATGATAATAAAGTTTACTGATTCTTGTTAAATGGTGATATTGCAAGGTAGCTTTTTAATTACAGCTTAATTTTTGGGCTACTCTTTTTAGTTAATTCGGTACTTGTCAATTAATTAGTTTACGAACTACTTTGGTTCTTGCTTACTTGCTGCCTTTTTTACAAAGCTCAAAGGTTTTTATAAAGTTCCTTTGTGATTGATTTATTTATTTCAATAATCAAAATAACAATCTTTATGCATCATGGAAATGACATTAACAAAAACAAATAACATATAATTTAAATGAAAATCACTATTATGATCGTATAATATTCAAGGTTTGCTCATCTAAAAAATTGTTTCTTTAGACAAATTTGATAGGAATCAGTACAAAAGTTCAATCAGATGTTCATTATAGCATACCGATTGGAAATAAAAATATAGAATTGATTTATTACCAAATGAGAATATTTTAATCATTAGTTGTCCAAGAGGCATCCAATTAGACTTTGAATTTCTGTGCAATTGATGTCAATTGGTTATCGAATGATGCCATAAATTGAAACAAATCGGAATATATAAATAAATATCAATCGGTTAGTAGTCAGGTCGAAACCAGATAGTCAATGCCAATTTGACATTGTTCTACCAGCGAAGCTTTCAATAATACCATTAGATTAATAATAATTGCGCAGATAAATTGAAATGAAGTTTTATAGATATAAAAATAAACAGTCGATCAATCAAATTTTAATATGCTAGATATCTATCTTTGGACTACTTGATGATTTTTTTTTCTTTGAAAAGATGATTTCAATATTATTCGTGTAATGATAATCCATTTGATCTTGCGAGTATCTGTATTTTTGAAGAGTTTCTTCACTCATAAACTCACTGGCCATGTCTCTTAATTCCACCCACTTGTGCCATTCTTTTTGAATATCTTGTTTGGTGGTTGTTGTCGTGGTAGCAGTAGCAGAAACAGTGGTGCTGGTTATAGGTTTCCGACAATGATAACTATGATTTTGTGACCCAAAAATTTCCGCTAATTTATTCTTTAAAAGCTCATCACCTTCAGGATAAGGATTTTTTAATTCAGGAAATAATTCGGGTATATTTGGAGGTCCATCAATATTAAATGTAACTTATTAGATTTTAAAAAAAACACGATAATAATAATCCATTAATCAACAATGAAAAGATACAGACAGACTCCTATATAGTCACACCTTGGGACTGAAGAATTTTATTTAGAAATCACCGATTTGAAAATCACGTGAGTTGAATATAAAATTTTGTGACTATATAGGAGTTGTGTGACTGTATATATAAAAGACTGAAAATGTAAAATTTAAACATACCAACAGCCCTTAAACCAAACCAAGGGCCAATCTCTTTGTGAACATTTAAAAAACAAACTCTGTTATAATAGGCGAATCCTGAATCTTGACATAACTGTTGAAATGCTACGAATTTTTTAGGTTCCAATTCAAAAGTGTACCTGACATCGTAATCGACTGCTGTATGTTTGTCGTTAATTTCGACATCGGAATTGTGAGAAAAACTAGACAATGTTTCGTTTATCGCCATTTCTACAGATTGCTTGGTGTATTTGTCCAATGGATTTTTATCGATTTTTTTCTCGTCGGTCAAAGAAAATTTATTGACAAAAATTGGCCAAATATGTTTGGTATTTGCTATTAAAATTGATAATGTAGAATCGTCATTAGCGGAACGTCCAAATGTTGGCAAAGGTTCTAATTGACGTTGCTGTTCAGATGTTACTGACGATGACGATGACGATAAAGGTGATGGTTGTTTTATCGATAGGTTATATCTAATAGATGTAATGATTATATAATTGTTTTTCTTTTTAAAAAATAAGAGTTTTTCTCTATTTTTTATATATAATACCTTTGAGCAGGAAAAGGTATTACAATGTCGAACCCTAACAGAAACAATGTTGTTTTAAAGGCTTTGGTTAATTCTTTCCAATGGATATTATGATTATTATTATTGTTAATATTCATTTTATAAATAAATTTAATTTATAAAAAAAGATCTCGATTTTGATATGTATAATCAGAGATAGATTTTTGATGATAAGATAAAATTTATTAATAAATTAAATTTTACTGTTTGATTGTAAAATGACCAAAAACCAAATTGTAACCATCAAACTCATATAAAATTCTATCAGCTCTATTATAACCATTAATGGAATTAGTTGTATTAATCAAAGTATCCTTATCAAAATTCTTGTCATCTTGAGTTGCAAAAATTGTCATTGTAAATTTGCGAGGCTTAAAAATGGAAATTACATTTTCAATTAATTCCACAGCAAATGAAGAATTTGTGAGAGGAATATTTGTTTCAAAAGAAGCGTAAGAACAAATTGGTTCGGGTGTTACATGAACATTAAAATAACTATCATCTAATAAACCGTTGGATGAATATCCACAAGGTTCAAATAAATAAGAATCTAGTTTTGCTGAAGGATATAAATTATCCAAGCCTGTCATTTTGTCTATACGAGTTCCACCTGTTAAACCTACTACATTCTCATCATTCTCATCATTCTCATCGATTTCATCTTTTCTACGATGAAAAATCTTCATTGATTCTTCGTTTAATTCTGTCATCAAAATTTCAATTGTCTGATCCGATATGTCGATCATTGGCTTGGAATCTTTTGTTTCTTTCGGTAAAGAACTTTTTTTTGATTCTTGTTGATTATTATTATTATCATTATTATTAACATAATCATTATAATGAATGTGATCATTAGATAAAATATCATTTTGTGGTGAAATTAAATATAAAAACCAATGATCTCCATTAATTTTCCCAACTGTATAGGCTGCTCCATCATCTATTTTGTTTGGATTTTTCATTTAAAATTTTTATTTATAAATATAAATAAAGAATAAAATAAAAAATAAAATAAAATCCTCACCAAAGAATTTATCCAAGAATTTCACCTCATCATTCCAACTGTTATGAGGATGTGATTGTAATTCTGGAAACATAAAACTTTTTCTTGAATAAAAAACCCTCCAAACCTTATGAAAATTACAATATTTTAAGGCTGTTTCTAATAATTTTGGTAATGCTGAAAGCAACATTGTTGTGCCACACGTTTTCAAGATTAATTTATGTGGATAAATGAATAATGATGATTCGCTAGGAAAATTAAAAAAAATTTACTTTTATTTTTATTTTGAACGTGTTGGTTGAAAAAGAATACAATTTTTTAATAAGAATAAAAATAGTTAGCTACCTTAATAAGTAAGCATCGATATATTCATTTTCAATAACACTAATTATATGACATTTTACAATTTCCAAAACCTCATCCCAAACTTCTTTAGGAACAGTTCTTAAACCAAGTTTACTGGTTCCGTTTTCATTATTGTGGTTTTTCTCTATATTTGGAGATATAGGATAAAACCACAGCTCTAATAATTTCTCTGGTCCTTCAAATATTCCATTCTGTGTAATATTAACATTATCAGAATTATGATTATCAATTGAATCTTTACTCATTTTTTTTTAAAAAAAAATGAATTTTCCCGAATTCAAAATTGCCAAATTGCATTTTTATACCTTCCAAATAAAGAATTGTGTTCAGAACACAATTTGATTATCGAAATTCTTTTAGATATTCGTTCATCGTGTCAATTTAAACAATAAACGCTTTGAGAAAATTAACGCGCCAAAATATAAATGTTTTTTTAAATTATATTGATTGTTATAATATAAATTTATTATTTGTCTAATGAAAAAAAGTTGAAAATAAATGAAAAATATTAATATCGATAAATAAAAAGTTGTTACAAAAATCAATTTAATATATTTTGTGTAAAATAAATAATAAATAAATAAATAATTCAAATTTTTAAACATTGTTCATAATATAAATAATATAAATAAATGTTTTTAATTTTTCATATATAAAAATAATTATTATTATAAATAAAATTGTTAATTAATTAATTAATTTCAAACTGTTGCTAATTTATTTATTCTCTACAGTAATAGTTGTTGTTGTTGTTGTTGTTGTTGGAGGAGGAGGAGGAGGAGGAGATATGGTGGTGGCAGTGGTAGCAATAAAACTTGCAGTTTCTATTTCTGTTTTAGTCGACAAATCACCAATTTTTTGATCGCCCTTGTTAATAATATTATCAACAGCTTTATTTTTAGTGCTGTCAACATCATCATTAGCAACAACACCATTATTGCCGTCATCATTACTAAAAGATTTATTATTATTATTATTATTATTATTATTATTATAGTCATTTTTTTGTTGGTTTTTCTTTCTGTAATTGTTGTTATTGTTGTTGTTATTATTAAGATTATTAATTAAAGCAGCAATTTCAGCTTCAGCTTCTAAAATATTTTTTTTGGTTGCGAGATCTTGATTTTCGATATAATACTTTCTCCTCTCAATCAACTCGTCAATAACTTTTTCCACGTCAATATTTTTCAAAGGCACCATAACTTGAACAGAACCCAATTGTTCTATAATGCTGATTGGCAATTGAAAGTGTGCGGTTTGTCTGGAGCTATTGCTGGATTTTTTATCTTTAGATTTTTTTTTGGATGTTTTAGAGGAACCAGTAAAATAATCGTCGTCGCGATTTGATTTCTTGACCAAGATTGTACCTTCCGGAACATTGCTGGTAGAATCAGGTTTACGAATATTAATTTCTGATTCAGGTTCTAATGATTGAGCTGAATTGTCGTTACCTTCAGTTGTATTTTTTACAATTCCATAAGTAGATTTGAAATAATTAATAAGATTATCACAAGTCACAATCTCACTTTGGAAAGCAGGAAGTGATGCTTGGTCAAGTTTATATTTGGTCAATTTTTCAATTCTCTCTCTTTCGTATTGTTCTTTTTTTTGTTTTTGAAGTTCATTTCTACGACGTCGTTCTTCACTTTGCCAATTGTAGTGTTCTTGTTTAGCCTTATGATATTCATCCATAAGTGATTTTCTTTTACTATACTCTTCATCCATCAAACTCCTTATTCTTTTTTTTTCGTCGTTTAGTTCATTACGTTTCTCTTTATCCTCGGCTTGATCTTTATTAACCATCTCAAGTTGTGATTTTAGTTCATCATACTTTTCATTTATCTCTTTAAAATCGCTAAGTTCAAGTGATCTTTTCATTTCATCAATGGCCTTTTGATCAGCATCAATTGACATTTGTAGTGCTGACAAGGATTCAACAGTTTTTCGAGATTTTTTTAATCCAGAGATTTCTAAAACTAATTGTTTTTCTCTAACAAGCGTAATATTACCAGATTCAATTAATTTCTCCGAGTTTCTATAATAAAAAAATTGATAACAGACAAAATAATTAAAAAATTATACTGTTAACTATTTCTTCAATTGCCTTTTGTTCATGAAAATGAACGGATAAATAAATTGATTTTGAATTTCTTACATAATTTCAGCGTCAATATCTTCAAGTGATTTAAATCTTAATTTAGATTTTGCACCTTTTAAATCTTTTTTCTTTTATTATTGTTATTATTAAAAAATAATGATACGAGTTATTATTAATTGATAAAATTAATTTAAATAATCTTTTGAAGTAATAACTTACTTTTTTTTGTAAAGAATCATTGGTAAGTCTTATTTGTTCAAAGGTTTTATTTCTAACTTTTTTAATTTCTGATTGTTTACCACGTAGTTTATCCAATTGCGCGTTTAATTCTTCACGTTTTTGACTTTTAGATTCGTTATTTACAAAATTTGCAAATTTCTCAGTTATGCTTGCCTAAGTTTGATTAAATTAAATTTAATAAAGAACAAAATAAATAAATAAATAAATTAATAAATAAATAAATAAATAAATAAATAAATAAATAAATAAATAAAATAAAATAAAGCGAGAAGGAAGTTAAGAAACTACCTGTTGTTCACGTAGTTTATCGATTTTTGTATTTATTTCATCTAAAGATTTTTTGTGAGCTTCTTCATCAGGTTTAGTTGGTGGTTTCAAATTAATTTTTTTAGATGCTGCTGCATCAGTGTCTCCATTAACAATTTTATCATTTTGGCTTTTATTGTTTTTTTCGTCGTTACTTTTATTGTTTTCAATTTCTTGTACAGAAGAAATAGGAGGCATGTTTTTTTCTTTTATTTATTTTATTTTGAAAATTTTGAAAAAAAAAAAAAGAAATATTTTTTATATAGTATATAGTTTGCCCCACAAATATAAGTTCATGCAGATCTTCAAACCCCACACCACCAATCAGTGGAGGCACTAATCAAATTTGGAAATTATATAACAAATTTACACTGCCTATCAGGGCGCATTATTGAGATCCTTCCTACTAAATAAATCTATCTATGCCCTGATCTTAGCCACAATTTCCATAGAAAACTCCCTATGATTTTATAAACGCCTACGACTATTTCAAACACGTCAAGTGTTTGATTTTTCTTTAATTATAAAAATAAAGATTAGTATAGTATTAGTAGTAGTTAGTATAATAATAAATTGATTTCGCCACCCAATTTTCAATATTCGTGATATCTCTACGATTCTATTTATTAATTGTTAATTCGTTCTTTGGTGATAGCAAAATGTAATTGAATATGGAATAATTGTCGTTATTATTTTTTTGCGCTTTCCACTCGCAATTCCTTCGTTATTAATATTACTTTTTTATAAATTGAAAATTGGATAACTAATGTTTAATAAATCATCGTCGTCATCATTTATTTATTTATTTATTATACATACTATTACCATCGACACTATTAAGCGATGGCTTGGATCAAAATCTTCATCTACTATACGTATATTATATTGAAGTTTAAATAAATAATCACATCTGATTTTTTACTCGGGTTTTCAACTTTTCCTTCTTCCAATACTAAAAAAATAAAGCAATGAAAAAGTTACGGAACGAAAACGTGACTTTGAGCTTTATTGAATTGCGTTCTCCCTCTGCCATTAAAAATATTCTCGGTTTTTTGATTAAATTAAATTTTTCAATTGATCGTCTCCGTTGTTTGTTTCATCAAGGCGCGAGTAGAAAAGAAAGGCGGCGGGATAATGACCATTTTAATCTAGTGGCCTTTTTTTACTTTAAAGAATTTCGGTGAAAAGGGATCTGACTAATGAAATTAAAAAGTAAATGCTAAATTAGGATGACACCAATGAAAAAAAGAATTTTGAATGTTTAGCTACGGTGAGTTTATGAGAAAATCTATATAATAATATATAATAATACTCGTCTTTTCTCTCCATTGCCAAGGAATTATTATTACTAGCCTCGAAAGAAGGTTCCTCCGCTGATGGTAATGTAAGGAATCTGAAAGATTTTCCCAAGTTAATCATGTGACAGTTGAAATCACCCTCCTTCTGTTTCTAAGTTATATGCTCACAAGGTGGGGTATTATCTGTATCAAAGGAATACTGACTGACATCTTTGTTGGAGATACCCCTACTATTATAATTTCTACTGGATAAAATACATGTCTGGCCTGATTATGAGGCATTTACAAACCCTCCCCCTCCCCCACTTGTAGAAATCAGTATCTGCTATTTCAAAGATGAAGATTTTCAGCAGAATATGAGAATCATACACGCACTCACACACAAAGAAAGAAGAAAAATTTAATGGTAAAATAGGCAGATTTCCAGACTGTTTATTGGTATCATAACAACAATCACATTATACAATTATACTACTTAAGAATAGATTGTTTATATTAATTCTGAACTGAACTGACCATGATAAATTAATTGTTTTCTTTTTATATCATTAAAGTATTTGCAAGAAAAACTTTTGGATTTTAGATAAATAGTATATATGAATAAATTAAATATTATTTATTATTTATTATTTATTATTATTATAATCTTAGATCTGCGATTTTGAACCCTTTTTCTCAAAATTAATTAATTAATAAATAAATAAATAATTGTAATGCACAAGAATAATTTTCTACCATAAGAAAATTTTCACAAGAATGCAGGTGTTGTTGTCTTAATATTTACTATTTTGTTAGGATATGCAAATTCGCAAGAGATCTGAACCTTTGCAAGTTCTAAAGATAGCAAATCTATTACAAGAATTAGCTTTTCCATTTAAAACCATCACATACTAAAATAAAATTTTTGAATTTATAGAAATTTGAATTCTGAATCCTGATTGGTTGTCCATCTATCATAATGGGAAATTTGACAACTTGTGACGTGGTTAGAACTCATCCACAACTTTGTGGAATCGGGCACCCGCTTCATGTGACATCCATCATGGCTTTATCCATTATTTATGAAGGGAGGGGGGAGACAATAATGGAAGAAGCCAGCGGAGATAAATGGTCTTTCTCGTTATACGAATTTATGGTAGCGGGAGCTGAGAAGTTTTGTTCATATTGATGTAATGAATGTTGTTGCTGCTGTCATAGATCCGAGCTAGCCGTCAGTCAATGTATTACATAATAATACTAATATATTTAAACTTAATTAATTTTATTAAATTTTTTGTTTACCCAAAATTTTGTACCCCAAAATGTCGTGCAAAAAAATTTTAAACTGCAAAAGAATAAATTTGTTACCAATTAAAATTTGTACTATTTTTTGTGCAGTTAATTCCTATTTTTTTTCAATTAAAAAAAGAAGTTGATAATAGTATATATAATATAATAAATAATAACAAAATATTCTACAACAAACTCATACCCAACACACTAAATCAAAAACACCTTTGGTACATTTTTTTTATTAAAACCACAATTCCATCAACTTTATTAATATTATTACTGCCATCTATCCATCACTCACTCACTACCACTACTTGTACCTTTATTTTAATTTTATTATTTCGTGAATAAATCGTTATATAAAATTTTTACCAGCTGTTATTCTATCTTTTCTAGTAACTTATTTTATTTTGCGAAAAAAGCGAATTACCCTTTCCTTTACTTTTTTTAAAATTCATTCATTATATAAAAAAAAATAGTCGTTTATAATATATTAAATAACAACAATGGGTGTGTCTGTATCAAAAACTTTAGCCAAGATCTTTGGCAATAAAGAAATGCGTATTTTAATGCTTGGTCTAGATGCGGCAGGAAAAACAAGTATCCTTTTTTTTATTTTCAGAGCAAAATAAGTTTCATATGTGCGCGCATGTATATTCAAATTTTCAAATTGCATGAATTTGATTTAGATGTTTCATAAATTATATCCATATAATCCTTAACTTTATTACAAAAATTTACTAAGCCATCTTATATAAGCTCAAACTCAATCAATCAGTGACGACTATTCCAACTGTTGGCTTTAACGTGGAAACAGTTACATATAAAAATGTTAAATTTAATGTTTGGGTTAGTTTCTTATTGATTAATTTTATGTTAGACAAGAAGTTATTTAATTGAAGGATATTTTAAAGAAAAAACTTTATTTCTTTTATATATAACAATCATAATTAATCTACAACATATAAATAATGATAGGATGTAGGTGGTCAAGATAAGATTCGACCATTGTGGCGTCATTATTATACAGGAACTCAAGGACTTATATTTGTGGTAGATTCACAAGATCGTGATCGAATTGATGAAGCTAAACAAGAATTGCATCGAATTCTTTCTGATCGTGAAATGAAAGATTGTTTATTATTGGTATTCGCCAATAAACAAGATTTACCAACCGGTAAGTTCAAACAAACAAACAAACAAACAAACAAACAAACAAATCAATCAATCAATCAATTAATTAGTTAATTAGTCAATATTAACGCTTAAATTATCATTACCAGCAATGTCACCTACTGAAGTAACTGAAAAATTAGGATTACACCGTATGAAAGATCGAGCCTGGTATGTTCATCCTTCATGTGCTACAACTGGAGAAGGTCTTTTTGAAGGATTGAATTGGTTAAGTCAGAATACTAAGATGAAATAAATTTTAATTTCTCAAAAAAAAAAAAAAAAAAGACAAGAAAGAAATAGATTATGTAATGAACTTGTGTAAATAGTATTATTTAAGTTTTTTATTTATTATTTTAAATCTTTCTTTAGTAAAATGCCAAGGGATATATGTGTATTTTTATCATGTATCATTATTATTATCATCATACTTTTTTCATCGATTATATTTTTATTCTTCATATTCTATTAATATATTTATTATTTACCCTCTTTTCATAATAGTTGTATTACTTTAGTTTCTATGTATTAATATATATAAACAATTTTTTATATTAATATTTAAATATATAGAATTACTTATTTTTAAATACAATATATAAATATATAACATACAATACATACATACACATACATACACTCTCATTCATTCATACAATACTACTAATACAATAATATAATACATAATGGATTTAAAATTAATTTTTTATAAAACAATAACTTTTTTATTTTATTATATAATAGATTTTTTCAATGAATCGTGATCTCTTTACAAATAGAGATTTGGGTATAATAATAATTAAAAAAAAAAATAATTAATAATAATACTTAATACTTAATATTTTTTAATAATAAATTAAATGATTTTTACACGCATAATATGTGATTTTACTTTAGATTTCTGTAAGTGTCTGATGACAATGCACGATCAAGGTTCTTTAGAATTAAATAAAATCATTTTGCAATCAGATATATACTATATTGGATAATAATTTTTTAATAATAAATAAATCTTATAATAAAAATTATAATTTATACACGCGTTCTCATAAAAAAATCCTAATAAAAAATAAATTCTATTCTAATTAAAAAAAAAATAATATATTTTTTAATAATAAACAAATTAATATAGCGATTAATAATAATGATGATGATGATTAAAGATTAAAGATTAAAATAAATAATTAATAAATATAAAATAAATATAAATAAAAATTTAAAAAAAATAAATAAAAATAAATAAAAATTTTTTTATTCGATTTAATTATTTGACGTATCTTCCTATAGCAGTGACAATTGATTCTTTATCTTTCTTATCATCAGAAAAGAAATAATAAGATTCAGATGATTTAAAATCAACTTTGAAGGAATTGAGTATCAAAACTTCGGATTGTGCGTCTGTTACTCCAGAAACTTGTCCATCAAGTTCAAGTTTGGAGATTGGAAGTTTGTCATTCTCGTCACAGAAAAGGTAAAGAGTTTTACCACGAAGTTCAAAAAATCTGCGTTTCCAAAACTTTTTAATTTTTTTTTTAAAAAATCAAATTTTTAATTAATTAATTTAAAATTTAATTTATTTATTTATTTTTTTTTTAGTAAAAAAGATTATATAAATAAAAAAACTTACATAGACACCACCACCTTGAACAGTAATATATCCATTTAACGTAACCTACAACAACAACAACAACAACAATATTGTTAGTCTTTTTATATACCATCACCTCAAAAAACTTTTATTTGATAATTTACCTTTCCACTTTTTTCCAATTCAGCAAATTTAGATCGAAGTTCTTCACTTCGTTTTCGTTCAGACTCTTCACGATTTTTACGATCAACTTCAGCTCTGGCTTTTGCTTCAGCAGCATCTCTTTCTTTTTTCTCCAGTTCTTCTTGTTTTTGCTTTTCTTCAAGAGCTCTTCGTTGGGCTGCCTCTTTGGCAACTTTTTCAGCATTATGTCTCTGAATAGCAATTTCTTGTTCTTCTTTTTCACGAGCTTGTCTTTCAATGTCTTCTTGCGATTGTTGTGGTGGTGATGATGTTCTTTCAATAATTTCCTCGCTTTCAACTACTGGAAATGACTCATTTTCTGTTGATTTCGGAGAGGTTGGTGATGGAATTTGAGAAATAGATGAATTTGTACTGCTACTATTATTAGTATTACCTCTTTTTGGTGTAGGTGGATGCTTATCAGATGGGTCGCTGAGCTTCAAACGATTGCGAACATTTGCTTCCGTAAGATCATTTGGTGTTGAAGCACTGATTTGGATTTGGTGTGCCTGCTTGACGAATATTAAATGATTCGAATTACATATAATTTTAGAATGCACCACAAATAAAAAGAAACCAAGAACTATTCAATGTGCATAAATCACCATCCTACCTTAAATAATGCACCAACTGCTCTACCATGTACCAAAGCACGTGCTATAAATTAAATAACAAATAGAATTCCAAAATAAACAATCAATTAATCAACAAATTAATTAATTGAAATACTTTTTTATAATAATCGTCGCCATTATCACTATCATTATCATTTACCTCTTCGTACACCGCTAATTAAACAATTATAAAACAAATAAATCTTTATTTATTAGAACTTATGTTTCATAAATATATCTATCCATATATACAAATAGCTTTAAAAAAAAATAATTAATTGTAATTGAGAAATACCTGACTTGCTCACTGACATAAGTTAATAAAACAAATTTATTTTCAATTCTTAGAAAGCCATACAATACTTCATCTTTTAAATTACTACGAAGTTCATCAAGACCTTGTGAACCTTTAGAATATAAAGAAATTTTATCTCTTGTATCGTGATATCCAAGAATAAGCCTAAACATATAATTAATTATTATTGGAATGAATGAATTAATTAATTAATTAATTAATTAATTAATCAATTAATCAATCAATTATCATTTATTAATTGTGTCTATATCTATATATGCATATATGCAGATGTATAAAAACATTTGTAGAAAATTACAACTAACCAATTGGTATCCTGACCATTTACGATCTCTTCATATGCTACTGTGATAGCTGGGTCACTTAAATCGCAAGACATTTTTTAATTATTTATATACACACAATTTTAGATTATTTACGAGGCTTTTTTTGTCGTAAAAAATATTATTTAAAAAAATTTTTTTTTTAGAAATATAAACAAACTATGTTCTTTTTAGATAAAATGGAGAAATGAGAAAAAAAAACTTTGTAATTTCTAAATATTTATTAATTAATAATCATTAAAGATTTTCCCAAATTTGGAAAAAGAGTTGTACGAGGAATATTCGATTGCATTGTTGTGGAATATTATTATTATTAATATTGGATATCGACTACCCAATTCTTTTTCTGGTTACAGGACCTCGGAAACCACACAATAATAGATCTTTTATGGGATATAACCTAGGGGTAAGTAAATAAATGGGGGGGACAACTCGATGTTACACATATAGATCTTGTGAATCCAAAACTGTCACG